TTCTAGAAGAAAACAAACAGATCCTTATTTACTTAGCTCTGAGACTGAAGTGTTAAGTGAAAGTTCTTTCCTGGATGTAGCACCTTCATCCAGCTATCTCCCAGAGAGTGATCCCAGGCCCCTGGCTGCTAGAGCTCGTGGGACCATCCCCTTCCTAGGCCACCTGTTGAAGCAAGTAGAAGAGAGACCTTAATTAAGATGCACATCTTTATAAAGATTTTAAAAATAACTTGTAACTGCAAAATAGGACTGTCTGCCTTTCAAATCCTGTTTATTTTACAATGTGGAGGCATTTGCCCATTAACTGAGCAACATTTCCTTATGATTTGAATCTGGCACATTAAATCTTCTGTTTTAAAAGTAGAATTCTCCTGCCTGAGGATGAGTACTGTCCCTTTTAATGACGTTCAGAAATTAGCCAACCGGAAAATTTTGCCCTAAGAATAGGCTACGTTACCTTGGTGGCTTACTTGACTTGAGTTTGCAGTGAGATGCTGGGTCAAGCCATCCTGACCTCCCATTCTCCCAAAATGCACAAAATATTTTTTAATAACATTCTCCACTAGACATCTGTTTATTTCGCAATGAACAATTAAAGGCATTTCTGCTTTAGGGCACAGAGTGCAAGCCAAGTACAGGGCTGTTTTTGTACCACCTTGGTTGATGTAGACTAAGGATGCCCTTTAAAAGAAAGAAAGTTATGAATAAAAATACTCCAGAGGTTGTCACAAAGCCAATTATAGAAAGAGATTAAGAGTCTTAGAGAGCTCTGGTACGTTATCACTCATTGGCTGCCAGTTGTTTAAATACAATGACCATGGGATTGTCCTAAAGTTAAAAAACTCCTTTGACTAATATGGGGACCTTCAGAGGGGACTTCTCCTGAATCCCTGAGATGAGTGATGTGGGTTCGATGAAATGGTCACTCAGCTTAAGAGACTAGCAATTCTGATGCTGGGTATGAACTACAGAGCAGTAGTTTCAAACTAGAGACAGGAGGCATACAGATAGCTTTCAAGGGGTAATTCCAGATCTTTATCTTCCATGTACACTCCACCTAAATCTGAACTACCTGAGAATCAGTGTAGTTAGATGCCCCCCCAACCCCCCCACCCCGTGGCTCCTAGTCTCTACCTCCCCTTCATAGTGGCCCTTTCTCCACTCTGAAAGAGAAAGGGATCTCTGTCTCCATATGAATGCTAAATGACATATTGCCCCAAAGGAAAAACCTGAAAGGAACTAAAGACATAACTTTAACCAATGATATTAATGTTGAGAAGCTGAATGAGTTTACTGCCTAACAAACACTTCTGAATGTTAGTCTGACACTACCTGTTTCCTAGTGAATTGACTGAAGAGCCATGCAAAGCATTCATTGATAGATCATTAAAAACAAGGCCACTAAGTGATGTGTGCATATAATTTGGAAAGCTTTCAAATAAATGAGTAATGTTACCTATACAATTTATTCCAACGGCCGTCTACTGAGTTCTGTGAACAATATTCCTCCGTGTTTACAAAATAAAAAGCAAAACTTGGGGATAAACTGATGCTGACCCTGTCTCCTTCTAGAAATAAGTAAAATTTGTTCATGATCTACAAATGAATTTCTTAGTGGGGGATGGGACAGACAAGCGACGTGCATTAAGGAGGGCACTTGTGATGAGCACTGGGTGTCATATGTAAGTGATGAACCATGGGGGTCTACTCCTGAAACTAACATTGCACTGTATTCTACTCCGGAAACCAATATAACTAACTAGAAGTTGAATAAACACTTGAACTAACTAACTAAATAAATAAATATAAATAAGAGCATTACACAAATGGGCATATTTACAATCTTCTCAGGAGATAAAATGGTAAACTTTGGCCTCAGAAAAACAAATAAATAAATAAAATAATATCGGAAGAAACAAAAAAACAAATCGATGTTTTAAAGCTTTGTTGATTTATGTTTAATAATTATCAACCTTTAAAAGCACTTCATTGGTCAATTATGAACTGAAAATAGTGATAACTCAATTCAGAAAAAAATGTAATGCTTAGCAGTATTATGGTCAAGGAAACTTAATGTAATTTAATTTAAATTTATATATATATACATATACATAGTCACAGAGAAATATGGTAAGTGAGCAATAAAAAACACTCACACATAATGTGTGATACATTCAGATAAAAATCTGTAATAGCAGTAGAAAGAAAATTCAAGCCCAGAAACAAAAAGAAGTGATGTAAAATTTTCTACTTTAAGAGACCTTGCTCATATTGTTAACGTTTGATAGATAATGGGGAGTATCAGATCACTACAGTATTTATACTCGGTTGGATACATTGAAGAATTCCACTTTTAAATGCTAATGTTTACATTATAAAAAAATGAACCCCTTTGCAACTACTGAAAGTTATGTCATTCCTCTCCTTCTGCTTAGAAAAATCTACTTAAATAAATATGTTTCAAAACTAAATCCTATTTTCCAACTGACCACAATATAAAATTAGTGACGACCAAAAACAGGGATAAGAGCAATAATAGATATTATCTACCACCAGTTTTTATTACTAATATTTATTGATAACATTCAGAAATGTCTAATGTTAAAGTTTTGGTAAAAAGTTTAATTCCAATTCTAAAATGTATACGGAGGAAAAGTTTTTCCAAGTTGTGGGGTAAACTAGCGAATAAGTATAAAGACCCCTATTCTACAGAAACATCTGTGTATGTCATATAAACAGGTATGTCAGGATGTGCACAGAAGTATTACCTGAAATAGCAAAAAGTCAGAACCTAAACATCCATCAAATGTTTGAATAAAATAAGATATTTTCATGCAGTAGAGTATTACATATCAGGTTAGAAAGAATAAATTAGATAAATTTATCAGCATGAGAATATCTCAAAATTTACTGGATTCTAGTTAAATGTGATCCTCAGGCTTACATTGGGTTCATCTTTCTCTAATTTCCTATCCTTCTCACACAGAGAAACCAGTCCAGGAGGCAGGAGATCTACAGGCTATGTGACATCATCCAAACCTTGACCCTGGAGCAGAGAACTTTGAATGGGTGTATAACATGATCATATCGCAGTTACAAGGCTCCACAGTTGTCTGAGGCATTTTAATGACCACCCCCTGCAGGGAGCAGAGGGAGGGGAGAGGAAAAGGGCCAAAGAACCAATCAGAAGGGAAAGAATTTCCTCATCATCTTTCTGAAATCTCTACTTGCCTGGAAAGAAGTAAGGTATTTAGGGTGGATAGAGGAAACAATGATCTGGCAAATATCAAATGCTGAGAAAAGTAGAAAGTGCCTCTTGGCAAGAAATTAATTCTGTGTTAACGAAATCATGGTTCACGAGTTTGTTTCTGTAAGAATGAAAAATCCATAATGCCCACCAATGACAATTAAGTTCCTTGCCTTGTGTGTGAATGTCATTCCTCTCTTTCAGCTTAGAAAAATCTACTTAAATATTTGTACATTTTCAGAATTAAATCCTATTTTCCAACTGACCACAATATAAAATTAATGACAACAAAAATGGGGATAAGAGCAATAATGATATTATCTACCATCATTTATCACTATTAACATCTATTGATAACATTCAGAAATCTATAAGGACATTAAAGGGCATATATATGGTCTTATGAAGACCTCACATCTCTCTTAGGTCTCTGCAAATGTGTTTTTATAAGGACAACCTGGGGTGAGTACTATAATACAAATAATAATGAATACTTATTGATTACATACTCATGTTAAGTGATCTACACAAATATATCTCCTGTGTTTCTTACCATTTGACCCTATCCATCCTGCCTCTTTACCACAAGTACTGAAGTCATCTCTCTCTTATAACAGCTGAGGCCTTATTACCATTTCTACAGTATTCCACCTTCAGGAATTTTTTCCCTAAGGCCACCAATATTCTGCAAGTCCTCTCCCAGCAGACCCATCTGCTGGGACCCATCCTATCCCTTTATTAGACATGCCCACACAGGTCCAGACCTCCAGAGTGAATCACCCTACCATCCAAGGACCCCTACCAAAGCAGAGAAAGGGGAGAAAACAGTATAACTGGACCGACCGTATTCATTAACCCTCATAATATATATTGAGAGGAAGATGTAGGGTTGGGGCTCCGGACATAAAATTAAACTGGATTGCTGTTGCTGGTAAATATTTCCAGCATTTTGCCGTGCTTTATTATGTCCTGTCATTCCATAATTCTCTTTGGAGCACAGACTGAAGAATTTCTTGAGCCAGATACTCTTGGTGTTAGTTCATAGCAAACGCTCAACCAGGGCCCCTTTTTGCTTCCCTGTACACCATTCCTCACTGCCTTACCCTGAAAAGGGAGGTACTTAACTACGTATACTCAGACCATAAATTCCTTGAAAGGCTATTACTCGGCAAGTTACTCAATCTCTCTGTATGCCTGTGTCGTCCACTGCATAATGGGGACAATAATAGTACTGATTCATACGGCAGTTATAAGGATTAAGAGAGGAGATATATATCTCTCAGAACAAGCCTGGCACGTGGTAAATACTAAATGAGCATTCACTGTTAGCTGTTGTTATTATCGAGTGAGGAGATACAGCCTGTCCCTCTGTATTTTCCTTCTGCCATCTCAGACACCTTTCACGCTGTCCGCCATCTGGAAGCTCCCAGTAAATGCTGAATGAATGACAAACAATTATCAACAATTCAAGATGGAGATGATAAGGAAATAAGGATTCCTCTGGTCCTTCAGGATGTCCCAATAAACAGTAGTTTTAAAACGATTTTATGTCGTTTATTGATATATCTTATGTCATACCAATGTTCCAGTTAAGAGTTTAAACAAGCAGTGTTGGCCACTGGTCACTTGGTAATCAAACGGTCCAATCACACTGACCTGCCACATGCTTCTCTTAAGTCACATGTGCAACATTGTGACATAGCAAGAATGCACACAAACTCCTTTTTCTGCCCTTTCAAAGTTCTCTGTGGGGGCGAGGTTCAGGAGACACCACCTCCCCCACGCACTAGACAGCTTCCTGGGTAATGTCTCCTACAAACTAGAAGGATGCTAATCCCAGCCCAACTGTGCAACGAGCAAACTCCCAGGGGCTTCCCGAGAACCTGCCTGATACACAGCCGTCAGAAGGTACAGTAACACTCAGAGTCAGAACCTCACCTACACTCTCTGGTTTAAATCCTGACAACTCCTAACTACGTCTTGGCTGTCACTTCAGTGACGCTATTCCCACTTTGCACTGAATTTTCTTGAAGGTTAGAAAACAAAAACCCATCTTGTGTAAGCCTCTATACTTCTCACAATTCCCCACAGTTTTTTACATGATAGACAGACAGTTAAGTATTTATAAACTCAATGACTAAAAGACTATGTACTTTTTCAAATATATACATAAACATACAAATATAACTTATTGATTGGATATAATATAATCCTTAGGTAATAATATTCATACATCACATATGTTATCATGAAACCTTTTCTTTCAATACTTTGGTGTGGGATATTATCTGGAAAGACCTTAATCACCATTTCTGTCTTTCGTTTTCCAAAGGAAACATCAACAGAGGAAATGTCAGTCTTAGTTAATATTCTGTGTCCTGAAGGTGGGGGAGTTGGGGGGAGGTAGGCCTATGAGATCATTTTAATTACAAACCAAACACGGTAATATACCTTTTCTCACTGCAGCACAAATAACCAAAATTCCCAGAATGTGGACTCCAAATTCTATTCAAGAAGCTAACTTTTCTCTTTCAAACAGGCTCCGGTGAACTTATTTTTTTTCTAATGCTGTTCTTTTCAGTTTGTCTAAGATGGAAGTGGCCAAATCACAATTGGGGTTTAGTTTCACAAGTTATTGTATCAACTCTGGAATAAAGTAGACTAAGTCATGAGCTCTTATTTCCAAGGGAACCCTAGGCGAGTCAAGCCAGGCCTTCCGGCCGGCAGAGCCAAAGCTAAAGCTGGGCGCTGGCCCTAGCCAGGGGAAAGTATGGACAGGTAGAGTAGGAATGGGGGCGGGGCAAGCACATGAGGAAGAGACGGAAATGGATGAGGGAAAGGCATTACCCTCAAGGATCATCAGCTCTTTAAAGCCAGCTCTACCGATTAACAAAAGTTCATAGAGATAAAAGATCGTGGAAAAGGGAAAAATAAAAGGGAATGGATGAGATGGAAAAGATTAGTGGGAGAAAAAAAGGAAAGAAGGTTCACCTGGGGGAGAGCAATGGCGCACGACCTGAAACTGCCTTCAGTACCAAAGCTCACTGATCTGTTCTACCGTCTTCGGCTCACTTGAGACAATAACCTATTTCTAGCCTTGTCCCACTCCAATTCTGAGGACTTGTCCTTCACTGTTGATGGTCAAGAATCACTAGTGTTTTGTTTCTTTTCATAGATGAATTCCTTTAAAACTGTTATCTGCCAAAGACAAGCCTTTTGTTAAGTGAGCCATGCAGGGTTCTGTCGTTCATTTATGCTCCTCCGCTCAAATACGTGTATCTGGCACCTACTCTCTCATCCTATGTTTTACTGTGCTGCGTGGGTGAGAAACGGACTGTGGCCTTCTAACCACACACTCTTTGAAATAAGCTTCTCTGAGGCATAAAATAAATAATAAAAAGAATTGGTCCGTTCAGGACCTAGGTCACTTAGCCTTGAGACTATTTACAGTGAATTCTGAAGCAAACTTAGTCCAAGGGACTAAGATCCAAACAATCAAGCAGTAAATTAATTGAAAGCTCTGACACCAAAAAATACACTTGAGGTATTATAACTGAACAATAAAAAGTCCTAAAGCTACCAGTCTAGTTTTGGGGAGTTGTTTCTTCTTTCTTATAGCTCTGGACACTGTGAAATCCAATATCAAGGTGGTGGCCAATTTAATTCCTGGAGAGGGCGCCCTTTCTGGCCTACAGATGGCCACCTCCTCTCTGTGACCTCACAGGGCACTGAAGGTGGGAGGGAGAGAGAGCATGAAAGCAAGCGCACTCTGGTGGCTCTTTCTATAAGGAACTAATCCCATCAGAAGGGCTCAATCTCCATGGCCTCTTCTAATCCCAATTACCTTCCAAAGGCCCTATCTCCAACTACCATCATATTGGGGATCAGGGCTTCAGCATATGAATTCTGGAGGGACATGAACATTCAATCCATGATAGCAAATAAGATATATTATTCCAGTTCTAGGTAACATGGAGTAACCTCATTCTACCCTGTCTTTCTCGCTGAATGTGGCTGTAAAACCTGATGGAACACATGGAACATCCATTTGAGGAGTCCAAAAATAGTAGCAGGTAAACTGGGAAAGAAGACCAGGATTCAAAGCACTGCTGAATCAGCAGTGAGTTTTCTGTTTTGCTTTTCTCTACTAGAAACCCCTGGTCCAGATGTAAGGCAGCCTAAAACTCAGAATGGGCACCAGGGCACAGAGGGAACTCCTGAAGAAGCCCTTCAGTTCTGTTCCGGCTCCAGGATCAGGAAAAGCATTTCCTGACGCTTGGAGAGTGTCAGGGAAGTCTGCCCATCTTTTGTTCTTTCCCCTGTTCTCTGATGGCCCAGGCCCCAGGAAATCCTGCCCTCCACCCCCAGCAGTAGCAATGAAGACAATGGTAGTGGGGGCCCACAGGCACCAACATCTCTGAGGGAGGGAAATCTTCCTCTACGAAAAAGCTGTGATCCCAGGAGGGGGTGAAAATCACATTTGGCATTTCATCTCTTTCCCTCCATTGCTTGGCCCTAGACAAGGCCCTGTCCCCGGAAGTAGGCTGTACAACAGGATAGCTAAAGCACTGGCTTTCTGGATACAGGACTCAAAGAGGAAGTCTAGGGAGTCAGCAAGTACCAGAGATTATGGAGAAGGAGAAACTCAGGAAAGTAATAGATAAAGCTGATTAGAGACTCTCAGGCTCCCATTCAAGCTACACAAGGACAAAACGGACCTAAATAGCGAAGACTCTGAGACAGAGCTAAAGGACAGACCACCACATGTGTCACAGATTGTGGCACACACAGAAGACAGATTCAAATAGTGCTGCAAATGCTTTGAAAACAGAACTGACATTGAAACTACAGAATAGTGGTTGGAATTTGTAGCCTGAACCCAGCCACCTCTATTGAAATTTTATAACGGAAAACTACAAAAACCAAAATAAACTCAGTACATGGAATCAATCACAGAACAGAGATGACAAAGGAAAGCATCAGAGAATTTGAAGATAACTCAACAGAAATTATGCAATCTGAACAATGAAGAGAAAAATAATGGGAAAAAAATGAACAGTGTATCAGAGACCAATGGAACAAAACCAAAAGAACTAATATTCATGTTACTGGAAATCTAGAAGAGAAATAGAAATACAATGCAGTAAAACATATGGGAAAAGATGATTAAAAATTTCCTGAATGTGGTAAAAACATAAACATACAGATTCAAGAAGCTCAGTGAACTCTAAACACGATAACCCCAAAACAATGGATGCCCCAATATAGCATAATCAAACTGCTAGTAATTGAAGACAAACAAAAAGAATCATGGAAGCAGGCAGGAAAAAAAAGGCGCATTATTTGCAAGGCAACAACAACTCAATGATTGTAGGTTTCTCATCAGAAACTGTGGAGGGTAGAATAAAATGGAACAGCTTGAAGTGCTGGAAAAACAAAACAAAAACAAAAACCAACCCTTCAACCCAGAGTTCAAAACCCAGGAAAAATACTCTTCATAAATGAAGTTGAAACAAACACATTATCAGGGAAGGAAAAAAAAGAATTCATTGCCACCAGACCTATTCTAAAGAACTGCTAAAGGAAGTTCTTAGGCAGAAAGGAAATTATGCCATAAGGAAACCTGGGACATCAGGGATACACGAGGAACAACTGAAATCGTAAATATCTAGGTAAATATAATAGGCTATTTTTCTCTTTTTAAAAAAAATTTTTATGTTTATTCATTTTTTTGAGTCAGAGAGACAGAGGCAGTGTTAGTGGGGAAGGGACAGAGAGACGAGACACAGAATCTGAAGCAGGATCCAGGCTCTGAGCTGTCAGCACAGAGCCCAATGCAGGGCTTGAACCCACGAACCTGAGATCATGACCTGAGCTGAAGTCGGTTGCTTAACTGACTGAGCCACCCAAGCGCCCCTAAACTAGTCTTCTCTTGAGTTCCTCAAAACACATTTCATGTTTGAAAGCAAAAGTGTCTGCTTGAATTTTTATCATATGTAAATGCAATACATAAGACAACTGTAACATAGAGTGTAAAGGGATTTAAGTGGAATGGTGATAAGACTTCCTCACTCCACTTAAAATGAAATGGTAACATATATTGATTCTACATAGATTGTAGAAAATCAAACATTTATATTTTTATCCCAAGGGCAACCATTAGGACTTTTTTTTTTTTTACAAAGATAAATAGTGAAAAACACAATAGATAAGACAGAATACTAACAAAAATTCAAATGTCCCAAAAGAAGGCAGGAAAGAGAAAACAGAGAAATGAGGGGGAAAATTCAAAAAAGGAAACCAACAGAAAACAAATATATCAAATAGCCAAATATACCAATAATTACATTAACTGAAAATGGTCTTAAATATGCGAATTAAAACACACAAATTGGCAGAATGGATACAAAGAACACCTGAACTCAAACATAATGATATAGGTTAAAAATAAAAGGATGGGAAAATATATGCTATATGAGTACTAATCAAAACAAAGTGGAGTAACTACATTAATAGCAATGTAGACTTCAGAGCAAAAAAACCCAAAAAACCAAAAACCAAAACAAAACAAATTATCAGAAGTTAAGAGCATTACCAAATGCATGAGTAAAAATCTAAAAGGACTGAAAGGAGAAACAGACATAAACACAATTATTACATTTGGACTTCAACGCTCCTCTCTCAGCAATGGAAAGAACTAGTAAACAAAGTTGGCAAGGATATAGAAGAACCAAACACTACCACCAACCCAACTGGGTTCAACAGATATACAGATTACTCCACCCAACAGCAGCAGAACACATATTATTTCAAACGTACGTGAGACGTTCTCAAAGACAGACAATATCCTGGATCACAACACCACCCCAAAAAAATATGTGAAAGAATTGTAATCATACAAATTATGCCCTCCAATCATAATGGATTTAAATTAGGATTAAGTAACAGGAAAAATGAAAAGAAAGTCCCCTAACATGTGTAAACGACACCCTTGTAAATAATCTATGGCCAAAGAGAAGTCAAAAGGGAAATGTAAAAATATTTTGAACTGAATAAAAATGAAAAAACAACATGTCACAATTTGTAGGATTCAGCTAAAGCAGTGCAAAAGGGAAATTTGCAGCATTAAATTCATACATTAAAAAAGAAGAAAGGTCAAATTACTGATCTTAAAAATACAAATAACAATAAAAAAGGAGCAAAATACTTAAGTCAAGCAGAAGGGAGGAAATAAAAAAGCTAAGGGCAGAAGCAAATGAAATTGAAAGCAAAAAATTAATAGAGAAAAATAATGAAAAACTGATCCTTTGAGAAAAATGAAATTTATAAATCTGAACAAAGAAGAAATACAAATTATCAATATCAGGAATCAAAAGGAGGATATTACCACAGAACCTGTAGATATTATAAGGGTATTAAGGGAATGCAAGAAGCAACTCTAAACGCATAAATATGACCTAGGTAGAATTAACAAATTCTTGAGAGCAAACTACTAAAACTCATCAAAGAGAAAACAGACAACCTAAAGAATCCTGTAACTATAATTTTTTTTAAAAAAACCTTTTAAAATAATATTCCAGGCCCAGACAGTTCTAGATTTCTACTAAACATATAAAGATGAACTACCAATTCTATACAAACTATTTCAAAAACATAAGAGGAGGGAACACTTCAAACTCATGTTTATAAAATTGGCATTACCCAGATACCAAAGCCAAACAAAGGTAAAAAAAAACCAAAAACAAAACCAAAAAACATAGGTTAATATCTCGCGTAAACACTGATATATAAATCAGACAAAATCTTAGCAAATTGAAAACCTAAGTATTTTTTTAATTATATACTAAAACAACCAAGCAGAGCTTATCCTGAAAAGGCAAGGCTGCTTCAGTATTTAAAAAAAAAATCAATCAATGTAATCTACTTTATTGATAGACTAAAGAAGAAAAGCTACATAATCATATCAGTTGATGCAGAAGTAGCACTTGAAAAAATCAACACTCATTTCAAGATAAAAAAAGAAAGAACTGTCAGCTAACTAAGAAAGAAGGGGACTTCCTCAACCTCATAAAGGTCATATACAAAAAGCTAACAACTAATATCATACTTAGTGATGAAAAACTGACCGCTTTCCCCTTCAGATCAGGAATAAGGCAAAGATGTTCTCTCTCATCACTGCAATTTAATGTTATACTAGAACTCCTAGCCAGTATAATAAGGCCAGAATAAGAGATAAAAGGCATGCACATTGAAAAGGGAGAAATGAAAATGTCCCTATTTGTAGATGACATAATTGAAACCAAAAGAAGTGACCAAAAAAACCTCCCCCTTGAACTAAGTAAGGTCATAGAGCATCGGTAAGACACAAAAATAATCTTATCTGTATACCAATGGATGAACAACCGAAACTGATTTATTTTTAGTCATTAGTATGGCTTCTAAATTATTTAAACATTTAAGAATAAATTTAACAAAACATAAACAGGATCTCTATGCTAAAAACTACAAAACACTAAATAAAAGAAATTTTGAAAAGACTGAAATAAACAGGAAGATATATCATGTTCAGGGACCAAAAAACTCAGCTCCTTAAGCCCATGTACAGATTTAACTCAATTCTATTAACTATCTCGGGAGGAATTTTGTAGATACAGGCAAGCTGATTCTAAAATTAACAAAGAAATTCAAAGGAACTAGAAAACGCAAAATAAGTTTGAAAAAGAACAATGATATTGGAGGAATCACACTACCTGATTTTTAAGTTATGCTATACAGCTAGATTAACCAGGACAGGGTGGTGACAGTGGTGGGGCAGTTACATAGATCAGTGGGATGGAACAGACAACCCAGAAAGAGATCCTCACAAATACGGCCAAGTGATTTTGGACAGAGGTCCAAATGATAGTCTTGCCAAAGAAAGGTGTGGGACATTCATACACTTAAAAATTAACCTCAACCCCAAATTCACACTTTATGCAAAAATGAACTCAAAATGTATCATAGATCTAAATGTAAAACATAAAACTTCCAGAAGAAATCTTTTTATTTTAATTTTTTATGTTTGTTTATTTTT